ACCAGTCGTGTTATGTCCACCACACTGGACCCTGGACTTTCAGAATTTTAAAAAGCACAAAAGTTCAGCCCAGCTATTTCAGAACTTGACAAAAACTTGCTTATATTTTATCTGTAATTTCTCACTACACACTTACCCTTCCTGTGACAGTGTTATTTTATGCTTAGAAAGCATCATCCATTTTAGGTCTCAAAATACTTGATAAATAAATACTTACAAAACCTCAATGCTGCAGTAAAGTACTAAAGCCATTTTGTCTATTTGTAAACTGAGGTCCAATCCAACCGACTTCTCTAAGGTCCCACAAGAACAGCTAGGAATTTAACTCAAGACTCCCTAATCCCAGTCTTCTATATTAAACACACGAGCAAGAAAAACCTTTAGGGGTTTTTTTTGCTAGCAATATAAAACATTTTCCAATGTGTTACCATCTTTTTGCATGCAGTATCAGGTAATGTGGGCATGCAGCCTCACTGTTTTTTTCAAGTCATAAATGATGAAAGGGTAAAACCCATAGAAAAATTAGGAAAATACACTTAGCAGCCAACACAAGCAACGCATAGGAAGTGCTGTAGGCAATTGGGTTTAGAAGTATAAACATCACATTAGTAGACCCATGAGATAGCATGATGTAGCCACACCTGGAGAGTCACTCTCCTGTTCCCCTCCCAACCCACTAATGAAAACAAGTCTGAAGCCAAAAATGTGAAGATTCAACTGTACAACATCATTTTTGGTCTCAAAGGCTAACTACATCAAACAGACGTAAAATAAGCTGGATTTACTTCAGCCAAAATATGTTTCCACTTGAAACAAGATTGAGTTCTGTCTAGAAGACCTTGAGATTTTACTAGATGCTGTAAATCTGTTCAGCAGCTGTGGGTGGCACCAGTTTCACAATAAACCGGGCTATGGAATAAGTAGGAAAAGTCCTAGGTAAAATAACTGAAAGCTGAACAATGAAACAATCATCAATCATTTATGGCTCTTTCCTGTAGGAAACATGTGCCCCTATTATCTGGATATCACTGTGAAATATCCACATTAGTATCCAGCTCACAAAATACCAAGCATTTTCATTAGCTCATCATCTTTCAAAAAAACCCCAAACAACGAACACACAAAGAACACCAAAAAACCCAAACCACCCACAACAACATTTTTCCCCAAGAAAACTGGTTAAATAACATCTAGTAAAAGAAAAAAGCCACCAGAGAAAATGCTCTAAATATTTGATTGCATCACAAAAGTAAATGTCTATATTCCATGCACAGGTCTCCAGCAGCTGTTTTAGCTAACGGTTGGCAAATTAATCCTAGGAGACTGTTGGTGAGGCCAGGGGCATGTAGCAATGCAGACAGTGGAAACTCACCTGTGGGTGTTCCACCCAAATCATAACACAATTTATTCTAACACAGGAAAGGCAACCCAGCGTTGGGCTTGTGGCCTGTTTTAACCTCAATGCCACACAAAGGACTGCAACAAAGAATCCCACTACAGAAGTCAACGTCTCATTGAAACTAGCTGAAGAAAGGTGGGTGTCTGATCCCAACGAGGCAATACCTCACTGGTCATCAGAGCGTGTTCCAGCGAGAACCTTACAGTCGATGATTCAGTCACCTAGGGGATTGAAAAATCATATTTTTCCAGTCACATCCCTGCAAATATCATCAACTGAAGAGGTGAACCCCGATCACGAGGCTGCTACTAGTCGGACCCGTGGCACAGAGCTAAGGCCCACCTCTGCATCCCTTTTATGAGCCGTTCTCCGCTCAACCTCTTCCTCCTTGCTACACATTCCCACTCTTGTAGCTCTTCCAGAATAATTTCACTTGTCATGAGTACTTAACCTGGTTCTGTCAGAACGATCTAAAGTAATACAGGTCATTTTAGCAGAACCAGAGTAGAACATAACTACACACAAAGTACCTGGGGGAGGAGGAGGAAAGGCAGAGACCAAGGGAGGAGCAGGCTGGGGCAAGGATTCCTTAATCTGGCTCAGCTGCGTTTCATTGATTACAGTCTCAGTAGCCCTGATAGTGAAAGGTGGAGCTTCTGTGAAGACTTCCAAGCATGGTTCTTTCTATCTGTCTGGCTAGAATAACAAATCTTGAGCTTGGGCTGAATAAATCATGGGGGAAAAAAGAGAACTCAAAATACCCCTGCAGTTGTGAAAAGAATGCATATTATAAATATGGCTCCCAAACGGGGAAAGAAAACAAACCAAAACCAAAGATAAGCATATAACTCAAGTTCAGCAGAAAACTGTCTATTTGACAGCTGTGACAAGTTTAGAAGAAATAATGCATGTTTTCAAAATGCTACTTTTCAGTGCAGTTCCTTACACAAAAATTCCTCAATTGCTTTCAGTGCCTGCAAAAGGAAAAAAACACTGTCAACATAAATAGAGCCAGAGAGCTGAAATTCTGAAGATGATGATTAATGTGTCAATGTACTTTTCCAAACCACTAGGAGAATTTTATGGATCAACTTTGGAGCATGCAGTCTCTCTAATCTGCTTACATCCTCCAACAAGGATTTAAAATTCACATAGACTCCAAACGTCCAATTCAGCCACAGTGAACCGCATCCAAGATTACAACTGGCCTACAACTGCCAATAGCACAGGTTCCTACTCCACACTTTTTGTTGACTAATATTTTCCAAACAGACTGCAGTCATACCAATCAAGATGTGCTTTCTACAGCCACAATCCTCCTCCCTAAAAAGTACCCATGACATGGAACACCTTCAAAAACAAGTCAGATGCAGTTTGGGTAAGTTACAGTCATGGTGTGAAGGATCCTCAGTCCCCTCCAGAGGGAGTTCACTAGCTCCTCTCAGGAATGGAGAACACCGGCCAGGATACCGCACAATCCTTTGACTTCATTCTGCCTTTGTTTCTTCGACTTTGCCTCTGAAGGAGCTACACGATTTTGCGGAAAGGGTATCATTATCAGGTTTGGTTTTCTTCAGAAGTTACTTACCAGTAAGTCTTTTTGCATTATCCTGTCCTTACTTGGCCTCAAACAGGCAGCTTTACTATCATTAAAACAAGCAGATCTAACAATGTATGTGGTTTGAAACTATGACCTATTCAACAAGAACCACACTCAGCCACCACTTGGACAAAGCTTTAAGGCTCAGCTTCTGAAGGATTCATTCCAGATCTGCATATGTCTCAACAGGAAGGAAAGACCATCCTTTGAAAGCTGAGCTCAACATAAGTACACCCCATCATGGCAAGAGAAAGGGATCTTTCCTGCACTGAAAAGATGTGTCAGCTTCACATTTAAAACCTGGAAAAAAAAAAAATCAGACCTTCATGTAGTCTTACAAACTTCATGTGGTTAGACTCTGCTGCCTTCTCATGGTGGAGGAATATTTGTGAGGAACTTAGGCTAGGTCTCCAAAAACAAGCTAATTTTTTTCAAAGCAGGGGTGTGTTTGTTTCCCTAATGCAGCACAAAAAGAGATGACTGACCACACCTCATTGCTCAATGCAATACTATGTTTATATCTCTGATATCTCAATTAAAATAGTTGTATATGTCTTTTCTATTAAGATACAGAGCCATCTAGTACTGAAAGAAAATACTTGCAATAGAAAGAAAACATTAAAAGATTCTTCAAAAACTGGACTCCTTTTCTTTTCAGCAAGTAAGAACATTTTACAGGCCAGAGGAAAAAAAATCTCAAATCAGAGCAGGGAATGCAATAACAGTTTGAGACTCACTACTTAAACCAACAATTCCTATCCTTACTCTAAGTACAAAGTAATCCATTACTTCTCTATAGCAGTACCAGACTACTTAACTTCCTATGCTGGCCAGTAAAAACTACAGTTGAGGCTCCTCTTCATTTTTCCTCATTCATCTTTTATTTAGGGAACAGTGGTCTTCGAGTGCCTATTCTCCTTATGCCATTTGCTGTGGAGGATATAACTTGTAGAAGGAAATAAAAAGGTGCTTTACTTTCCTCTATAGGTGCATAAGGCAAGCAATGACCAAGCCCTACATATGCTACATATTACAAAGCCGTTATGCTTGCCCTAAGTGTTTCTTCCCCCCGCCCCCCCCCCTTTTTTTTTTTAAACACCATATGGTACTATTTATCTTTGCGGGTACAAATAAAAATAAAGACTTCTTGAAACCACATCTGATTTATTCCTGACCACTGTAAAATCTGTAATAGAATATACTGTCAAACCACTGGCATGGAATGTGAATAATGTCTATCCTGCCTTCTGACTTCCCTCTCACACAAACACATGCAACTACATTAAAGAATGTGAAGCAAGAAGAAAGAGTCATGCTGAAGTGAGGATTCACTGTATGCAACCGTTGCAAATGCCAACTACCCAAACAAGTTTCACAAAGTCAATTGTTCTAATAGAAGGTCTCAAGGCATTGACAACGATAGGCCAGAGGACAACGAAAGCTAGAAACATCCTACAGGAAAAAAAGCATACTGTTCCAAAAAGCCAAAGAAGTGAATTAGCATTTTGACAAAAGCTACCGCAATGGCTGGCGACTTAACAGTACTACCACAGTTACCAGTAGCTACTATCCAAAAGAATGAGAGAGTAGGGGAACAAATTACTCATGAATCCACAATATTTTAAAGCTCTGCAGCTGAATATTCATATTATCCCAAAGTGCTTAGATCACTTCAAAAGGGCACATGGGAAATTTGTGATGCTCAATTTGTGGTTAGTTACTAATGCAGCAACATTTTGCATTAATGAAACTCCTGATGTGCATTAATTACTGTACTGGCTTGTAACACATTTTTGCGCCTATTACTTTGCTAATATGTAGAATAAAAATAATCATGTATGGCTTCTGTGAGTAGAGAAACATAAGCCACAGCTCATTTGAATTTAGAAAAAACAGACTATATTAAGAAACCATGCAGTTTCTCACCAGAGTCTCTTGTGCATGAGAAGATGCCATTAACAAAACGCATCAGCACATCTGAGTTCCTAGAAACGAACTTACCTTGGAGTCCCTAGAAATCGCTGTGATCTCAGTTGTTCAGCCACATACAAAGATGTTGCTACTGCTAGTAGTTCTCTTCTTTCAAGATCTGTCAACTTGTGTCCTAGTTTTCAGAAAGCAGTTCAAAAAAAAAGAAAATTAGATCCCAGACCAACACAGACACAAAAAGTAACAACTACCAGTGAAGACACTGCTCAGTCCTTACACACGAAACCTACATTTTTCCCCTCTAAATTAAGATGAGGCTTAGCATAGCAGACGCTCCGAGTTTCAGAGTTTAAATTGCATGTTTTCATACAGATCAGCCCTATTGCTAACACTGGTATCTCTGTTAAAAACAATTTGACAACTGAAAGAAAAAAACCTAAACGATGCTGCAGCATCTTGTTTTCGTTACTGAAATGTCACTGGTTGACATATTGTGCCTCATGCTGGTAAGGAATCCATCTGTACATTAGAACTTACTCAAAATATACAGCATTCTTTCTCAGTACTTTACCTTGCAAAAGCTACAGATCTTCCAAGCAAAAGCGATAACGCAACAGTATAAACTCCAGAAAGAAATGGGGATAAAACTACCTGTCAGCCCTGGGTCATTTAGTGCCATTTGCATAATCATCAGTTTGCGACTAACGGAGTCAAAGTCCTGCTTGGCACTTCATAAGCAGAAAATGGTTCAAAGTAGCCTACAATCTGAAGGCAGGCAAGCTAATAAAAGGTTTGGACACAAAGGTGCAAACCAGGGTTGGGTATTCTCCCAACCTGGTCTTGTTCCAGAAAGTGAAGGTTAATTAGAAATTCAGCTGTTCATTTGGCAGTCTAAAAGACAGAGCACAGCGACAGAACTTTGCCCTCTCCATCTTTAGGTTAGAAACCACACAACACGGATTTGGTATGAAAAGCTGGCAAATAGGTGGTCAAGACTGGTGTCAGCGGAGAAGAAAGACAGTCAAAATTGATGGGAGAGGGAGCAAAAGGACAAGTAAAGTACTCAGTCCAGAAGGCAGTGGCAGGAAGTTAAAGTTGACGTAGAAGAGGACAAGAAGGGCAAAGCTGAACTGTCATGGAGAAAAAGAGGCAAACGTTATCCTCGGGAGACAGATTTTGCACAGATGAAAGCAAGAGTGATTCAAAAGCCAGAGGGGAGGATAACACAATAAATAAAGTTAAAAGAGATAAAAGTCAAGACTGAAAAGACTTAGCTCAACTCAGTTACAACATGGCTCTCAAAGCGCTCAATGTATGTGTATCCCAGCCAATGCCATCATCCACGGCAAGTACGGTTTTCACATGACGGGATGGGGGAAGAGGGAGGGAAAGGGTTCGGAAGGCTGTTATCTCCCTCTGCAACTCTACCCAGGGGAACACGTTTGCTTCCAGTCCCGCAGCAGAGAAATAGTTACCCAGGTCCCTTCTACATCTCCACTCTCCCATCACCTCAGCGCTACTGCATGTAACGTTAACTCACATTCCCCAGTAACGTTCACTAGCAAGTGACAATTTCTATCAGTAGCATAAGGTAAGACTAATACAGTCCTCAAGAAAACCCAGAATAGAGGGCTCTGTAAAGGACTGCAGCGGACTTTACAGTAACACGTGCACATTTTCAAAACAGGACTCATCGTTCCACTGGGCACGTGAAATGTGGATGGGTAAAGAGGCTGCTTAGTCCCCTTCAGCAATGCCACCATCCCACGGTGACGGAAACACACTCATTACAGTCCCAGCCAACACTACAAAGGAGCTGTCACAGGCCAAAAAATGTCAATTTGAAACTAACAAAAGCCAGCAAATCTGCATCAATCTATTTTTAATTTAGTCCCTATTAACATATTCTGGCTCAAGATTACTGCAACTTCCTCTGCTCAGAGTTTATTTTTTTTATCTGCCTTGAAATGGAAACTGTCTTCACTGTAGCAAAGGCACACAGAAATATAAATGCTGAAAGGCTGAGGAACTGGCTTGAGAAACAAACTTGAGCTTTCCTTTGCCACTAGAAAAACTGACTGCAAAGCGCAAGTCAAAATCCGCTGAAATTTTGTACTAATTTGTGTATATGTACACACATATAAATGTATACATATGCCTTATATAATTATACAATGCAATAATACCAACTATCTGGCTCTGAAATGTGCCAATTTTCCAATTGTTTACACACAGTGAATAAGCTCCGAGATCATTTTTCCAAAATGCTGTCCCTAAAATTGATAATTTGTTTACATGTCTCAGCTAAAGACACATCAGGAATCTCCTAAAACCTTTCCTTTTTACCCTGCCTAACACCCATCACAAGCCCGTGTGACCAAAACTGCACGTTCCCACCTGCTCCTGCACACACTGGTAGTATCAACTCATATAAAGGAACAAGGTAAAACTAGAAAGATCTCAATTTCAAGGTTTTATTGCATGACCCTCATCTTGGATGAAATCAATAACTGCTTTTGCACTTGCTGTGCTGCAAAAACTATTTTCAATTAAAAAAAAACAACCCAAAAAAAAATCAAACTCCAAACAGTGAACAAAGGTCAGTAATCTGAAACAGGTTAACAACTCACCAAGAGTTACATTCACCGCTTCATTATCACAAACATGAAAAAAATATTTATCCGCTTTCTCTATTTGTCACTATTTGCATTAGTTGTCACACAGATGAGGCAAGCGGAAAACCAGTCATGACTGTAGTATCCAATGTGGGATTTCTGGGAGGTAATATAAAAATACTACCAAAATCAGGTTTTGGTCTTTGGCAATAAAAATACAAGCTACCACAGAATGTCCTCAGCATAACTTTGGAGTATACTTCGGAAGCTTGATTAAAGGCTGCTTCCCAAGGATGGCAATTTACCTTGATAACACAAGACAGACCGCTGTCAGTACCGCCTTAGTTCTCCGAACTCCAGTCCCATTTCCCCTGTCTTCTGCTCTTGCTCTGCTGCTACGCTCAGCAGAATTTTAAACAGTTTTGAAGTTAAAATTTTCAGTTACATTACTATATTCAGAAATACACACACGTTCCAGATAGTGATACCTTCATTTCACTTCAAGTGTTATTTTACTTTGGAATCCACCTCTCGGGATTTCAACTGGGTGTCTTGAGGTATAAGTTGATATTCCCCATCAACAAAGATATAACACTACAGCCTTTCACGTTCACCATGCAGAAGATTGACCTGAAAAGCAAGAAAGCTACCTCCAGGGTATTTGTCCAAGTCCTGCCTTGAGAGGGAGTGAAATGAGTAGGCAGCAAAGGCTCCCCAGGTTCCCACATGGGAAGCTCTGCCACTGCTCTTTCCTACTCTTGTCACTGCAGGCTCCTGGGCTACACAAAGATTTCATTTCCACCATCACACGTGGAGCCAGTAGCTCCCAAATCTCTCTGCTTCAACCTGGGATACACTTCTGCATTGTCACTATCATCTCTGAGCTGAATTGTAGAAGGCGAACATAAAACAGAATTAAGGGCTACAAAACTGAGTCACAACTAAAGCAGTGGAAGCACTGCTGTTCATACTGTTTAAAACTAGACCGCACACATCTATTACTACTAAAAGACAGAACCCTGGTCGGAAGGAAGACAAGGAAAAAGTCTTTCTCTCTCATTTCCCTGATGTTATGATTGCTTAAATCAATATTATCCCAGTATCCCCCAAGCTGAGTCAAAAAGGTTCATGCAATTACTTTACATAACCAACTTCAAATTAAATTACATAAAAGGTCATTTTTCCCATAACAGTCTCATTTGCATTTTGTCCTAGAAATGTGTTTCCTACTATCAATTACAGGAAGAAAAAAAAAAAATAAACCACAAAAACAAACAAGCCCTGGTTATGTGCCCCAGTCTGTTACTTAATACTTGAAAAGTGACTGTATTCCAGTTGGGAAGGATAGAAATTAAAACCAAAATAGGTAAGATAAAGTGCAATGCATAATGTAGATCCATACCAACACAGGCAACGTTTATATCACTCCTAGATTCTGGTTTGGCTCAAGTTTTTCCCCAATGGATTCTGAAGTTGACCATTACCGACCATTCTGAAGTTGACCATTACCTGACATTACAATGGCAGGTATACCAAGCAGGCTGAGGCAGAAAACGAAGTTGGATGTTATTAAAGGCTTTCATTTCTTCTGAAGTCCAGCAGAGCTTTGCTCCACTCAGACACTCATGGTAAAAGACAGACAATGTTGTTGCGTATGCAATCTCAAACCATTCAGAACAGTGAAGAAGAACGTCTCTCGGAAAGCTCGTGATCAATTATAAGACGGATGCTATAGCGTACAGAAAGGAAATCTCTACTATTTGGAATTATAAAGGGATTAGTGACAGACCAAGAAATCTTTCTTGGCTTCACCTGCCAGAAAGAAAAAAGTCAAGTAAGGTGTTAAATCAATTTTTATAATCCAGTAGCTTCATAAAAATGAAGACAAAGATTAGATTCCAGGGTGGCGAAGATGAACAGAACCAACAGCAACCATCTTCTCCCTTCTAACAGTAACACAGCCGGGAGAAGCTGCATTCCCCTCTCCAACTAGTAACAAAAGCCTCCAGATTTAAAGTTAAAAGTCGTATCTACAGTCCCAATTCACCTAAAAAGTGCTTTCGTTCATAGCAGAATCATGGAATGACTTGAGGTTGAAGAGACCTTGGGAGGAGGTCTTTAGTTTATTCAGCGTGCCCCCCTCCCCACCAAGCAATCTCAACATCAACTTCAGACCAGGTTGCTCAGAGGTTTGTGCAGTCAGATCTTGAAAATCTCCAATTTATGACTGCTGTCTCTGCCTCTGCTGCAGCACAACTCATTGAAGAGCCTGGCTTCATCTTCTTGGGAACCCCCTCAGAGGTATGAGGACCATTAGACTGGAAACGAGAAAGCTTAGGGTGGACCTAAAGAAGCCTGGTTCTCCCAGCCTCTGCTCACAGACCCTCTGTTCCAACCCCACCACCACACGGGTGGCTCTTCGCTACGACTTACTCAAGTTCATTGACATCTTTCTTACACACCTGAGGCGGTTAAAACTGGACACGGTATTCCCAAAATGGTTTAGTAAGTGTTGAGTAAAGCAGAGTAATCATTTCCTCCAACCCATATAATTATGACAAACACAACGTATCTAAAAGCCTTCACCTCATACACAGTCTCTGGAGCCAACACACAATCGCAGGAGGGAGAGGTGCTTCCTCTTTCTTCCTTTCCGTATTAGAAATCACCTACTGATAGTCCATCAGGACTTCTGCTCTTCCACTCCACCCAAATGAGGTCAACGTGCTAGAAGAGGGGAAGTAAAGGATTCTTTTTCATTTCTTCCCCTGTGTTTTGGTATGACTTCTGCAGTAATCTCTTGGAAAATGGCCCATTTCTCATTTGCGCAGGATGTCTCTCCCAAAGAGACTGACCAAGCATTTGAGACGTCATTTAATAACCAAGAAGGGTGGACCATTAAAAAAAAAAAAAAAATCTCAATATTAAAACAGATATCCAGGAAGACTAACTGTGAAACAGATTGAACCACAAAGAATGATCCAATGAATAGGGTACTAACATAAGGATCCTTGAGTTTAAGTTGTGCTTTGTTAAAGACTCCTCTTGGATCTTTGTGAAAACAGAGATATTTTCTGTGTCTATAAAAAAAGGATAATAGATAGTATATTCCTTTCTCACCAGGCAGGTTAGCAAGTACAGAGGCATGCCAGGCTGCTTGGAAGCTGCAGAAGGACAGCTCCTCTCCCAATACTCTACTCTAGTAGCATGGGCTACTCCTGCACGCTTGGCAAACATCTTTCTTCTGTGAGCAAAGTGCTTGGAGGCCATTCTAGGACAGATGTATTTGTGTCACCTAGCCTAATCCGTGTTGCTGCACCCACCCTCAGATCCACACTCCTCCCAAAACCTGCATGTGTTACAGAGCAATAACCGACTGCACGCAGGCATCCATCACCAT